ATAAACTGGAGTAATAGTAATAGGATGAAATTTAATAGTGAAAAGTGCAAGGTCATGCATTTAGGGATTAATAACAAGAATTATTGTTATAAGCTGGGGACACATCAGTTGGAAGTAACAGAGGAGGAGAAGGACCTTGGAGTATTGGTTGATCACAGGATGACTATGAGCCTCCAATGTGATATGGCCGTGGAAAAAGTTAATGCTGTCTTGGGATACATCAGGCGAGGTATTTCGAGTAGAGATAAGGAGCTGTTAGTACCGTTATACAAGGCACTGGTGAGACCTCATCTGGAATGCTGTGTGCAGTTCTGGTCTCCCATGTTTAAGAAGGATGAATTCAAACTGGCACAGGTACAGAGAAGGGCTACTAGGATGATCCAAGGAATGGAAAACCTGTCTTATGAAAGGCGACTCAAAGAGCTTGGCTTGTTTAGCCTAACCAAAAGAAGGCTGAGGAGAGATATGATTGCTCTCTATAAATATATCAGAGGGATAAATACCAGGGAGGGAGAGGAATTAGTTAAGCTCAGTACCAATGTGGACACAAGAACAAATGGATATAAACTGACCATCAGGAAGTTTAGACTTGAAATTAGATGAAGGTTTCTAACCATCAGAGGAGTGAAGTTCTGGAACAGCCTTTCAAGGGGAGTAGTGGGGCCAAAAGACCTATCTGGCTTCAAGACTAAGCTTGATAAGCTTATGGAGGGGGTGGTATAATGAGATTGGTCTTTGACTATTAGCGGTAAATATGCCCAATGGCTTGTGATGGGATGTTAGATGGGGTGGGATCTGAGTTACTACAGAGAATTCTTTCCTGGGTGTCTGGCTGGTGAGTCTTGCCCACATGCTAAGGGTTTAGCTGATCGCCATATTTGGGGTCGGGAAGGAATTTTCCTCCAGGGCAGATTGGCAGAGGCCCTGGTGGTTTTTCGTCTTCCTCTGCAGCATGGGGCACGGGTCACATGCTGGAAGATTTTCTGCACCTTGAAGTCTTTAAACCGTGATTTGAGGACTTCAATGGCTCAGACACAGGTTTGATACAGGAGTGGGTGGGTGAGATTCTGTAGCCTGCGTTGTGCAGGAGGTCAGATTAGATGATCATAATGGTCCCTTCTGACCTTAAAGTCTATGATTCTGGCTAGGTACTTACCACTGAAGCTTGAAAAAAGGTGTTTCTATAAACATTACCCATCGAACAGTTATATTTTCAATACTCTTAGTTACCAAATGTGTCGGACCTGGCAGATTCAGACAGGACTATAATTTGGACAAATCATTTCACAAAGGATGCAACTTCGTAACTTAATATTTGGTATGGCGGTTGTAATCATTCCCCAACTACTGGCACACTGACATGCGGAAATGTATGGCCTGATTTCCAGAGGAGCTGACCTCTGACTTCAGTGCAGTTACAGCTGCTCAGTACCTCTGAAAATCATGACAGAAAACCTTATAACTAAAAATTTGACTATTGCTTACCCTCCCAAATGGTAAGATACCACTATTTGATCTGTTTGTTTTCTTACTGTATATTCACTAATATCCTTTTACATCTAAAAACACCTTCAAAGCTATTACAAAGAGTAAGACTCACAAAATCATTGTCAAGAAGTATTATTATCTCCAATTTATAGAATGTTAGTGAGACTAAAGTTCTGATATTTAAATAGGCTTTCATTTGGTGTCACCTGCAAATAATTATAGGTGCAACTAAGTGCACATTGGCATATAACTATCTGATTTGTAGGCACAATAAGGTAGTTAAACATAAAATTGCCTTTATTTGAGCTTGCAAGCTAAATCCACTCTCAATTATTTGTGACTGTGAAAAGGGAGGCCAAAACATTCCTGTGCTTTAACCCCTGGACTATGCTTCCTGTCTTTGTTACAACTGGACGTTTATATTAAGGATTTAAAAAAAAAATCAAGGCAATTGTCTTTTGTGTATTGTTAAATTAACTGTAACAGAGTGGCAGTATTCTCCTTTGGTCCCACCTTTTAACAGGTGTTGACCCTGCTAGGAGATTTTAAATGAGTCTTGCTTGTTGCCGGTGTAGCTTGTTCACTCCACTGAGGACAAGGAGAGTGCGTGTGGCTCTGAACAGAGAGACAATCTAGGCTGAACGCTCCTGTAAGTGGAACCATAGAAGCAGCCAGGTCTTGCAAAAAGGCTTAGGCTGGATTTTGTTTTATTTTGAGTTACTTAGGCCCAGATCCACAAAGGGACTTAGGTGTCTAAAGCACAGATTTCTGCCTCAGGCAGATGTCTGGACACTATATAATGCCTAAACCCCAGATGATAGTCAGACCAGGGGCAGATAGGCAATGTCCTACCTATCTTGCCTGCGGTGCCCAATCAGGAGGTGTGCTCAAAGCGTGCCTAACTCCACACAAAAGTAGGAGGGGGGAAGACAAAACCTTCTTTATAACCTTTAGCCCAGTGATTAGGGAACTCACCCAGGATGTGGGCGACCCTATCAATTCCCCTCTCTGCCTGATGTGGAGCAAAGATTTAATTCAGGAAGTGTGGAGAGCTGAATTGGGGTCCCCCACATCCTGAATGAGTTCCCTATCCACTGGGCTAAAGATTAGAAAGAAAATCACCACCTTCACCACTAACTGTGTTTTATGTGGGGCCCATTCTGTTAGGGAGCCTCTGAGAACCCTTATCAGATTGGGACTTTGGGATCCGCAGGCAAGAGAGGTGGAGAATGCCTAGTCTGAGGCTTATGCTTGTGTTTAGGTGCCTGGATAACAGGACCGAGCAAACTGTGTGCATGTTCATCGACAGATTTTTTGGCACATTGGAGGCTTAGATACTCAGGGGTTTTAAGTGCCTGCATGATTAAGCAGCAGCTGAATGGGGGTTTTGAGGCTCTAAGTTTGGGGATTAGGCACCTAAAATGGCAGTTGATATTCAAAAAGATCAGAAAAAAATGTCTCAGT